AAAAAGTGCCTGGAATGTTCTTGGGACTGAGCGGGATCAGGACAGAGGAGGAAGAGGGGTTTAGCAGAGCGAAGATGAGTCGGAGGAGGCGGGGGAGCAGCAGGGTTACAGCTTCAGAGGAGAGAGACGCGGCTTTAGAAGTTGGCAGAGTTCGGTGTTCATGACTGTGGGGCTCAGTCAGCGGGAGTTATCGTCCCTCTGAGACCTCCGACTGTTTCATTCACCTCCATATAAATGGCAGAACTCTGACATGGGTTTTTTTTTTTTGTTGAAAATGTATATTTTTATTGTGTGCTCAGCATGGTAAGCTGCCCTGAATGTAAAGCCTGCATGCGGGGAAGAATCTGTTCCGAGATTTCATAAAAATTACACTAAAAGGTGAATAATGGTGGAACTGAAAGTTGCTTTATGTTGTCATAAACGAGCATCGCATATTAATGGGATCAATAAAAGCACTGCTGTTGTCAAACTTGCAAATGAATCCCATCCTCTTCTCAGTGTAAGATGGAAGCTTATCGATTTAATTCTCCTGCTGAATTTACTCCCGTCTATCATTTGCACATCTTGCAAACATATTAACACCAAAGCAACATTTAGTGACATGAAAATCACTGAAGTTAAAGCCAGAGCAGCGTCTAATGCAGTGCTTCTCAATTATTTTCCGTTACGCCCCCCCTAGCAAGAAGAAAACTATTCGCGCCCCCATTCCCCACCGTGACTATCCATCTCTGCATAACATTTTTTTCGCTGAAAAAACTCTAGCGGCTTATCGGCGTGATTGGGATGTAACGTATTTAAGTGACGCGCTAATTTATTTGGCTTCATGCTGTCCGCTGCGAGCATTTTTAGACACAGCAAACACACCGGTCTTTCCTCTTCTCCAACTGTAGTCACAGTGAAGCCAAGCGCTAAATACGCTTCGTCGTATTTCCTCTTCTTAGCTTTCGGTTGACTTTCTGTTGTCTCATTATCTTTGTCTCTCTCCGCTTTTCTTTTCATCCCTGTGAAAAACTTTTTCATGTTGGGGGTTGTTGAATAACGGAGGCCATAGACAGAACGCAGTCGGAGCTTTTTGTTGACTTAACACTGCTAACCAAGGCAAACCTGTTGTCTTGTAAGTCGTAAAATGTTGCACTGTCGCAAACGTGACAGAAGTAACAATGAGAGCGCCACTGCCGCCTACTGTGCGCAATTACACTTTATACTAGTACGGCCAAAAAAAAGCCTGTTCCCCAGGATCACAAGCCCCCCAGGTATCGCACTGCGCCCCCAAAGGGGGCCCGCCCCACTATTTGAGAAGCACTGGTCTAATGTGAAAGAGAAAAATTGTCCATTTCCCAGTCAAGCTGATTCAGTTTTTATAGTTTCAAATTAATTGAAGCTTCAGTTTGTAATTTTAATAAAAACATATTTACATATTTGTTAAAGTTAGCATTATGTAGTTAAGCACTCTTTTTTCTCTCTCTACAAGCTATTAGCTAGTTAGCATAGCTGCTGATGATGACAAGTTGTTCCTCCTCTATTAGCACATTTAGCTTTGAGTACATGATGTTGATTGACAGCACTAAGACCCTCCTCCATTTGCAAAGACGACAGAAAAAATTTAGAAAATCAGAATTTGAATTTAATTTTCCATCTTATTCCACCTTTTTGACTAAAACAAGTCAATTCCATCTGAAACCAGACAAACGTTTATTTTTCTAATATTGTGCATCTGTGTTTGTACAGATGCAGAAAGTACAAATATTTTGTTGCAGTTAATTTTATTGTCCAGTTTGGTTAATAATTTGTAATGGTTTAATGATTTTAGCCCTGCAGCACAGAAACATCCTGCAGGAATCTTTCTTTAAAACAAAATTAAAGTTTTTAAATCAGTGAACTGCAGAAGGTTTGGTTTTATTATTGTAGAATCTAAAATAATGTTTTGCATCTTGTGCAGAAAAAACTAAAAATGGCCGACGTTGTTATCCAGTGAATGAACGAGTGGAATCTGAAGTTTGAAAAGAGACACAAAATAACTGGAAACCAGTAAATGTTTTATAAATGCAATGGTTTTCCAGATTTAAGGAATACAATTTGCAGATTTTCCAATTTTGCATAATCCTGTAGGAAAACCAGAACTCAAGCAGTGACACCAGGAACACACTGGTTTCCTCCACCTGAGTCCCTTCCTTCCTTTACCTTCACTACTTCTCCACCCGAGGCTCTATTTGCACCGACTCTGAGTGACAAATCGGTGCAGACGTGAGTGTAAATGCATCCTCTCTGTCTGTGTGTGTGTGTGTGTTTTTCTTTTTGCATTGTGCGGCGAATGTGACCTCCTTTCTAAATGAGTGGAATATTAACGAGCAAACAGAAGCGGCGCGGCCCGGATGGAGACGCCAGCAGGCAGCTGCTCTTCCTTCTGTTTTATCATTAGATTTTTGGAGAATCAGAATAAACAGGGAATGTGACAGAAGTCGCTCAAACCCAAGGAAAACACACAGGCGTTTGAAGTTTCCTGTAGGTAGAGCTTTCTGTCGCAACATTAGACGAAAACTCTTGCTTTTCATAATTTTGACACTGTGAACTCGTTTGGATTTCTCACACTCTCTGGCTTTGATCTGTGTGTTTCTGTCTCCACTCACTCTGTTGCTTCCTGACGTTTGCACACACGTGTTTATATATGAAGCGTGTTTATTTGCGTGACAGAATCAGACTAAAAAGAAAAGAAACAAACTGTAGAACACAACTGTCTTTATTGAACACCAGCATTTTAGAAGGTAGGGATTTAACATTTATATAGTCGAAAGCCTACAAGAAAAGTTATTTAAATATTTATATATATCTGTACAAATGTTCATGAGCGAGTCGGAGAGCTCGTGTCGGCTAAACTTGCAATCTGGATCGTGTACAAAGACAGACATGCACAAAGCAAAGTCACTCTTTTACAAAATGGCTGAGTTGGACCCTTCTCTCTTGCTTTAGCTCTCTCTCTCTCTCTCTCTTTCTGTTTCTCTCACACACACACACACACACATTCATGACGAAAACCACACACACACCAGTGCAGCCTGCTGAGTTGAGAACGCCGTGCAAAAGTGTTTATGCCGCCAACATTTTCACGTTTCTTAAATTACAACCACAAACTTGCATCAACGCAACAAAGCACAAATTTATGAGGTGGAAGGAAAATAAAATGTTTCACAGACAAAAAATGAGAAAAATGTTCAACCATGAGGTCAAAACATAAAACTTACCAAAATGTTTGGTTTAGTTTCTAGTGCAAATATTTTTGTACACTTGAAATAAAACAAAACTGGAATTTTTAGCAAAAATAAGAGCTTGCCTTAAGAAAAATGAAATAATCTGGAAGAGGAGCAGATTATAATCCTTCTGATGTAGTATTGTAGGAAATAATGACGTAGGATTTTTCCTACATGTTTACTTAGTTTTTAACATAAAGTTAAAAATAATTTTTCCTTCTGATTTAGGAAAAATGTTTTTGATCCATAAACAGATTATTTCTAATACTCATTTTCTCATAGGAAATAAGAGAGAAAATAAGTCCCTGCTAAAGAAATGCATTCCCACAGCATAACACTGCCACCTCCATGTTTTGCATTGGTATTCACAATGAGGCGTAAAAAATTAGGCAAATTATCAAGAAAATGTATTTTTTCCATGTTTGCTTTGCACTTTTGACTGTTATGTTTTCTTTACAGGATCATGGCACACTCTTTCCATTTTCTCATAATTATCTGAAAAGACGTTTACTGCATCATCTTAAAACAAACGTGCCAAACTCGAGGCCCGTGGGCCAAATCCGGCCCGCTGTAGCTTTTTATGTGGCCCTCAAGATTCTAGACTAAACACCAAGTGTGATTATTTATTATGTTATCAAGCAAATCAATGCAGTTTTTATCAACTTACTGCCAAATTATATCAATCAGTCCCTCCTGTTTTTTGAGAATTATTTGGGAAATTCACACAAAATCAACAAATCAACAAATTCTTTGTGCTAAAACATAATTAGGAGTTTATTGCCGATTTTTCTCAAAAATTGTCAAAAACTTTCTTACTTGTACTAAACAGCTGCCTGAGTTTTAATTGATGTCAGGTTATGGTCCATGTTCTAAACAGAGAGGAATAAAAGTTGCATTTACTGTCATAAATAAGCTCAAATGTTTCCAGATTAGAACCACAAACATTTTCATTTTTATTGGAAAAAAATCAAAAAGAATCACAAAATCTCAGAGGGGCAGAAAAGATGTTCAGTAATATTTAATTTTAAGGATTTGTTGGTATTTCTAACAGTTTGTGATCAGGTTTTATCAATGCATTCTGGTGCAACCGGCCCTTTAAGAGCCTTCAGGATCTGGATTTGGCCCAGAACCAAAATGAGTTTGATTCCGCTCGGCTACAATTTAATAACGTTCTAATTGGGTGAAGTCTGAAGGTGGTTGATTGTGGTTAATTTGGGGGAATCTGTTAACATATTTACAAGATATAACAAAAAAACTAAAATATATATGTGCTTTCTTTCTTTTTTTTTTTTTTTTGCACTATGCTTGACTTTGTGTTGATCTTTCACATGAAATCTGAACGAAACGTTTTTGCTTGTGGCTGCAACAAGACAAAAAAGTGAAAAAGTTCAAGCGGCTTGGAAACCTTTGCAAGACGATTCCAACGTAAAAAACCTGACTGAGGTTCAGGAGCTCTGCAGGTCATGAGAGTTCGGCATTCAGATCTGATCTGCTAAAAATGCAGAGAAACAAAATGTAAAAATGTGCAATTGATTTGGAATCAATTGCTCCTCAAACAATCTGAACAGATCAATTATCATCTTAAGCTTTTGCAGTTTTGCAGAACAAATGCACTGATTTGTAGAGCTTTACACCCTGACCTGGAAAAATAAAACTTTTTCAGAATAAATGAATAAAGAACTAAATGTTCACTGTAAAAACACAAAATATTACCAAGAATATTTGGTCGAGTTCCTCGTGCAAATATCTTGAAATAAAACAAAATAAGTTATTCTTAAATTAGTTTTGTCCTATTTAAAATGTATTTAGTTATTTGCACTAGAAACTAGACCAAAAATACTTTGTAATATTATGTCATATGAGTCTCACGTTCTATATTCGGGAAACTTAAATTAGTGTTAGACTTCCACATAAGATAAATAAATAGAAATAAATATTTACTTAAGAAGTCATTCAAAATGTGTGGGAGTCACACACACACACACACACACACACACACACCCCACACACCCCCACACAAACACACACACACACACACACACACACACAGATACACTCCTAAGATTCAGCGCTCCAAGGCACGGCAACCAGGTGTGTGAGTGTTGGGGGGTAAGAGATGCTACTCAGTCTTTTCTGACTTCCCGTCTTTGTTCTGGGATTCGGCTGTTTTCCGGAGCTGCGTCTTTTCCGAGCTGCTGTTGATCTGTTGCTCGTTTGGCCCGCTCGTTTTGCCGCTCGAGTTTTTGTCCAGGTAGTTGAGCATCTCGCTGAGGACCGTCTGGAAGGTGCTGAGCGCCGCGCAGACCGCCGGCGTGCCGAAGCCGTGAGTGATCAGGCTGCAGGGAGGAGACGGAGAAACGTAAAATCAACCGATTCCAGACAAATCAGAGGAGAGTTTGGGATTTTTTGGGAGTCTGGCAGTGAAATCACTGCCTATTCTTTCAAAACTGCAGGATTCAGCTCTTTAGCAGTTCATGAGGGAGGATTCACTTCCATTTGAACAGTTCTAAGTATTCTTAAACACAAAAAGAACGTCTCATGGAAAATTAGCCAATTTTCTTAGACTGGCTTCTTTTTAGACACAAAGCTTCGACAGCCACTATATTTCATAATCGTTAATTTAATTTCCGAGACCTACCCATCTCTATTCCCTCCTTCCCAATTATCACTTTGCACTTTTTCGATAAAATATTTAGCTGGGAAATGCGACATTTCTTCACAAAGTCATCAGAACAAGTAAGGACTATGGGACATTCAAACCATGTTTCAATATTTTTGCACAAAATCGTTCTTAGGTAATGAGATTTGAATCTGCTCAGTTCTACTTCCTTTCAGAGTGTTTTAGGGTGTTTTGTCACTTTAAATCCAAATAAGCTGCTGCTGGCCACGCCCCCAAATCAATGTTTACACTCAAACGTGAAACTGGCTGCAAACAGATGCGCAATTACATAGCTATACATCTTTGAAAAACAAAAGTGGAGGCTTCTGCACAATCAGCAGGAATGCAGGAAGTGGTTTCTAGATGGTAAATCAACAACAAAACACTTGTCTTCTCCAGCAGCCATTGTACTGTGGTAAAACCAGCTGACCAAACATGTTGGAGGTCAAATTGGGCTGGTAGGCAACTGCAGTGACTCGATAACCAGGAGGTTTTTGAATTGGCTCATTTTCCAGACACCAAAAAACAAGCTGGGTGGTTTTTGAAGCACTTTGGCTGTAGAGACCCAAACATGCAAAAAGTACATTTTGCATGACAAAAGGTCCCATAAATAAATTTGTTCTTTTACTGCCTTCATTTGCAGAAATGCCCCAGAAATGACCAGGCAGCAAAATGAAATCCATTCAGTTCAAGACGACGTATCGGAGAAATTGGGTTAAAATCCCATCTAATTTGTGTTCCTTTGATAAATTTCAAACAATAAAAGTCACTGCAGAGTCAGAAGAGTCACAAAAACAAAATACTCGTCTCTTTTATGAATCACTTCGAGAACGTGTCAAACTCGAGGCCCGAGGGCCAAATCTGGCCCGCCGTAGCTTTTTATGTGGCCCTCTAGATTCTAGACTAAACACAAAGTGAGCTTAAATATTATATTATCAATCAAATCTATGCAGTTTTTATCTATTTACTGCCAAATTATATCAATCAGTTTCCTGAGAATTATCATGGAAATTTACACAAAATCAACAAATCCCTGCAGGTTTTTGCACTGATATAATTTGGAGCTTATTGCAGATTTTTCTCAAAAAGTCCCAAAAACAGCAGCTTCAGATTATAGTCCATGATCTGTACGACAAGGAATAAAATGTCACATTCACCGTCATTTCCAAATCAGAACCACAAACACTTTGATTTTTATTGGAAAAAATCACAAAATTAACCACAAAATCCTGGATTGACTAAAAAGATGTTCAATATTGTTTAATTTCAAGGATTTCTTGATATTTTAACAATTAGTGAACAGGTTTTATCAACACATTCTGGCACAACCGGCCCTTTAAGAGTGTTTATGATCTGGATTTGGCCCAGAACTGAAATGAGTTTGACTCTAACGTCCAGCATGGTGTTCTTTAGTTTTCCTCTTTGCATCAGTGAATATCTCAACTCCCTCTATCAGTTTGGTAACTTTTCTCCAATATGACATTTCCAGTAATGAGCCTCCTCTCCTCTCGCTGTTTGTGCCAAATCTCCGATTGCACAGCTGCGTCGCTGGAAAGCAGCAAAGAGGTCACTGGCACAACGCGCAGAGCTTCTCGTTGTAGTTTTTAAAAGAATAACAGAAACAGTTGGGCTCGCTCCAAGGTTTTCTGATGCGTCGCTTTGTGTGAATGCTACCTGAAGTGTGTGAGGTGTCTCTGGATGTCCAGGTCCAGGATGGGGGTCGGCCTGGAGGAGCCCAGAGGAGAGCGGTCCTGGCTCAGCAGGTCCTGGAACTCCTTGCAGATTTGCCTGACGGACAGAAGGAGGGAGGGAGAGAGGAAGAGTTTACCATCTGTCTCCACACGTCGTTATTCTCCTTCCCACAAACCCGTCCATCTTTATCACTTTAAATCACATCGGGGGAAATAAATACGATAAAAACTCTGCTAACGTCAAGAAGGATGTGGTCAAGTCTTAAAATTCACCTCCAAGACAAAGAAGCTTTTGTTTTCATACTAAATAATCCTCCTAACTGGAGTGGATTTAAAAAAATATTTACTGTATTGGTGCGATTGTGTGCCACCAGTCACATCAATAAGTGTAAATAAGCTATAAATCATACCTGCTTTTAACAGAGAGTAGCCAAACTAACAATCCAGATAATTTATCGTTTTGCCTATAAATCAAAATGATTGAGAAATGTCTCATGATAAATGATGCGATAAATGTGCTTATTGATTACTAAAACAAACTTGTTTTTAGGTTTTAAGCACAAAAAAAACTTATCAAAGATGCATCTGACATTTCAAACCCCAAAATAGGTGAGATAAGAATATTTATGATGACATTTTATATGTGCACTGCAAAAACACAAAATCTTACCAAGTATTTTTGCTGTAATTTTTAAAGCAAATATCTTATCACACTATAAAAATGAACAAACTAACTTAACTTTTCATCCAGATACAGGAGCTTGTTTTAAGTGAGTAATTCCTTAATATTGATGTTTGACTGGCAGATTGTTTCACTTTAGGGAAACAAATCAATATTATTGACTTAAAACAAGCTCTTATCTTGCAGAAAGTTACTTGAACTCAGTTTTGTCTTATTTAAGATTATTACTTGGTGATATTTTGTTTTTGTTTGCCTCCTCCTCACTTTGTTGCCAGAACCATCTTCTTGCGAGCGTTGGTCTCTTTCGGCTCGCTGTGCTGCCTCGCCAAATGTTCCCCCACCGCCTTGCTGGGAAACTCGGTCTCACAGGTGTAGCCGAAGTCCCTCGCCAGGTGGAGCGCCTCACCTGCAGCGAACAAAAACACCAGGAATAAGCAGGGAGGCGAGGACTAGAACGGATTAAATATTAAAAGCGTGACGAGCGGCGTGACGCGCCTTCCACCAGGGAGGTGAGCAGCGTGACGTTGGCAGCTTTCCTCCGTCCCGCCGGCAGGTTGAGGCCTAAACGATCGAGTTTCTCACGAAGACACCGGCCGCCGTTCTTGGACTTTGCTCTGCCAAAACAAAGTCAGACGTTTAACCGGGTTGAAGAACTTCAATGATGGAACTGATTTAACTTGGCAAAGGCAAAGTGGAGATGAAAACATGTAATTTACTGCATAATCGAGGTTTTGCTTTGCGTTTTGTGAGCTGCGTTGTCCTGAAGGCAACAATTATTTTAGTGGTGTGTGTTTCCCTCGCATGTCGGCTATAAAACAAATTTGAAACTCAGTGAGTAAAGAAACTTTACATTTAGTGACATTTTTTGATAAAGCCAAAGTGGCTCTTTGCAGAGGGCGGCATGGGTCAAGGGGCGGCATAAAATATCAAATGCATCAATGGATAATCAGTTTTTATTCAAAAAAACGTTCTCATCTGCAATTATAACTTCTGACGATGCTGAAGCTACTTTCTGTACAATTTTGCATCAAAATTAAAGGATTTATCAATAACTTTTTAATGATTTTTTCCCTCCAGAGTTATTTGTTCAAAATCTTCAGTATTCAGACTTTTTCGACCTCAAACTGAACCAAGATTATTTGAAACTAACTTTGAGATTTAACCGCTTATTCTTTGAAAAATGGGGCTGAATCGATTAATTCATGAAATAATCATCATCTAGTTCAGTAATCAATTAATCCTTAACTGTGTTAGTGCACAGACTCAGAGAAAAAAAGGCTATTTACTGAAGAAGCATCATAATTAGAGCAGGAGTTAAACAAAAACTGGACCAAATATACATGCTGTACATTTTCCATTAATATAAAAGAATTGAAATAAGACAAATTAACTTAAAAGGGACTTTTTAGCTTGATTTAAGTATTTATTTTCTTAGTATTGGTAGAAAAAGTTCCACTGGCAGATAATTTAACTTATAAGATTATATATAAGTTAAATATAGAACTACAGATTTTTCTTCAATAAAAGGGATTATTTACTTAAAACAAGCTCCTATATCCTGCTAAAATGTTACTTTTAAGTCAATTTGTCTCATTTCAAGTTTACTAAGATATCTGCACTAAAAACTAGACCAAAATCTTGGTAAGATTTTGTGTTTTTGCAGTGCGTTCTGTGCAAAACTCCTCAAATGAAGCTAAAAGTAAATCAAGTGAAGGCTAAAGACATTTTATCTTATTAAATGTTTTTATTTTCATCTTTTAATGTATTTCTAACATTGATCTCTGAACTTGAGTTAAAACATTAGTATTGTTGTTTCTAAATGAACATAAACTTGTTTTCTTTGCATTATTTAAGATCTGAAAGCTCTGCGTCTTTTACCGTATTTTGACCGTTTCTCATTTTCTGCTGATAAAAACCAAAATTTTTGCTTGTAATTTCAGAGACATGTTGTCACCAGTTCATAGAATAAAACGACAATGTTAATTTTACTCAAACATAAACCTGTAAAAAGTAAAATCAGAGAAACTGAAGTGGTCTCAACTTTTTCTGGAGATGTATAAATATATACTTAGACAGAAAAAGGCTGATTTTTTTGGGTACAAATTATCCAAATTCTGTGTTTTCATGGTATCTCGTATATATTTGTATATTAATTCTAGATTTCTTTTTTTATCTGTAAAACTGAAGAAGTAAAATTGTGCTATTTTTCAATCCGATTAACTGATTAATCGTCAGAATAATTGATAGATTATTAGTGGTTAGTTGCAAAAAGAGCTTTTTGGCATTAAAACACCTTAAACTAGTGAATTATGACGGTGTCAGACTGGAGGAGTTCCTCCAGTCCTGCACTAACCTCTACAGTTAACATGTAGCACCAATATGTGGAGCATAATCAATATTAATCCCCATAAAGACGAGCCTCTCCGTTTGTGCTCGGGTCTTTTCCCTCTCCCTTTGTTGATGCCTCGTCTGGTAGCCATATTCTCTCCCTCCTCTCTTCTCCTTTTCTCTCCAGCTCATCAATAATACAGCGCTGGCAACTCCTGCTTTCCTCTGCTGCCTCTGATCCTGGCGTGCTTTGGCCTGGTCTCGCCTGCCTCTGGCTCCCTGGGCATGGCGGCGCGTGCAGCCCCGGCCTTCTTGTGGGCGCAGAAATATATCCTCTGTTTTATCTGAGGGCTACAAAGACTCTCCGAAGCTCAGCAGCCAGATTTAGGCCTGGAAAGTGGGAGCTTCTGCTACCCAAAAATCCCCCTCTACCCCAAAAATGTCCTCTCTTGTCCACTGCTGTGCGTCGTGGGAGGATTCAAACAGTTAAATGAAGATATTTTGACCGTTGAGGCTGTTTTTCCAGAGGTTCTGCGGCGGCGTTTTGCACTGACCTGCGCAGGATGCCGCCCAGCAGGGAGGCGTTGAGGCACTCTGGCGGCGAAAGTCGTCTCTTCACCTCGGCGATGGTGACTTTGTACTTGGAGGTGGAGCTGAGCAGCGAGAGGCGACCCGGTACGGAGCAGAACAGGTCGGTGGGGTTCACCACGCACGTCCCCCCTGCAAACACGCAGAGCAGCGCTGAGGTCAGAGGTCACAGGGGCAGAAACAGCAACGTTTGGGAAGTTAGAGAGACTGAAAGAACCAGCTGATATTCCAGCAGAAAATGAGGAAAAATAAAAGTTATAAAAAATGAAAATTAGTGCAGGATTACCAGGGAGTATCAGAGCCGGGATAAAAACTTAAAAATATATAAAATTATGAGAACAAAGTCATCAGTTTGACTATATTCTTGTACGATTACAACATTATTCTCATAATATGATTTTATCTTAATTATTTCAACTTTATTCCTGTAATATATTGCTTTATTTCTCATAATGACTTTATTCTCACAATATTCAATATTGTTTTGACTTTTGTCTAATTATATGATTTTAATATTGTATTATTTAAATTTTATTCTCATGCAACTTTATTTTTTTGTAGGATGGTTTTAGTACTAACAGATTAGGATGAATTAAAGTCTTTGACATCTCAATTTTTATCTACTGAAAACTGAACATGTTGACTTGCTGAGATGTTTGAATTTTGTCCATAATATCATTCAAAAGCAGAATTAAGGCCAATAAGTTTGTTAAACTTATGTGCAACTTATTGTTTTTATGAATATCTGATTAATGTTTTGTGTTTTATCAATTTAAGACATATTTCTTTGCTCAATCCCATTACTGACTTCCAGCTCCAGCCCTAAATAATTACAGCAGCAGAAAATATTGTCATGTTATTTGGTGATTATTATTGTTCCACCATCTGGAGAAACTTATGAAAGTATTCTGGAGAACCCCCTGCAGCTTTAACACGACTTCATAAACACAGCCTGCTTTCTGTTACCAGGACAGAATAAAATGTACCTCACATATCTGCTGTATTTAAAAGGATCTGCAGAGCTACGGGAGCCCACAAGGACATTTTTATTATTAAAAGAAATCTGGATGTTCCTTCTGCTCCGTTTGCATTCAGAAAACTCATTTCTGGTCATAAACTGCCATGTTTTTCCTATAAAATAGAGAAAAATACTTAGCAAGAGGCTTGTTTAAGTGTAAATGTATATTAGTTTCAAAGAAAATTTGCTCCTCTGTGTGAAATAAAATCCTGTGCAGATGTGACAGGATGAATAAGAAAATCTCGTTTCTCACTCAGGTTTCATTTATAATGATTCATGAAGAGTCAGATGGGTGGAAAGTCGACGCGTGAGAAGAAAACTTTCTGCATTTCAACAGGAACCCTGAAGCCAGAACATGCAGTCAGGTCTGCAGGTTTCACATCGACTCTTTCCAGCCTGAATCCGTTGTTTCCCGAAAACTTAAATCGTAAAATATATTTTAAAAAAACACACATTTCTAAAGCGATGAAGCAACTCTCAACTCTTTTACCTATAGGACCAATCAGTGGACATTTTAAATATAACATCGCCTGCATGTATTTATGATCCAGGTTCAGTTTTAAAGTTTATCTAAGAGTTTTTCTTCCAGGAGGGGAAAAACAAAACCGAAGCTGCTCCGCATTATTAATCACACCTGCCTCAGCGCTGCCGGTCCTCACTCAAACATATTTATGTACAGATGTAAAATATGTATTGACTTCTCTGGCTGTGTGTTTTCATTATTGAGTTTCACTGAAGCGAACAGCCTAAGTGGCTGAAATGCAAGGTTTTTGTCTGATCCACTGCAGGCTATATTCTATTATTTATCCGCCTCGTTATCAGATCTAACAGCAGGGTGTGTCGCTTTGTTATTAGCCGTGTTGGAAATGATGAAGAGAAATAAAAAGACGCCTTTTAGGGCGAGTAGAACGGCGCTGCAGGCGAAGATCGGATGATCCTTTTTGGGGCTAATTTGACCACCAACAAGGTTTTTATTTCATGACAACTCACTGTGGAAGCATCAATGCATTTTGCTTGAGAAACCAGATAAGGGTTCGTTTTTGGACACTTTTTTTTGTCTTTTACGTAACTGTAATTCAGTTTTTGAGGAAAATATTTACCCTAATGTGAAATATAATTTGCAACACACTAAAGCAGATCCACAAGTTTTACAAAATCAGTTTGTTTTTGTTAATTGAACTCATTATTATGAGTTTTCCAGGCATTTTATGGCAAAATTAAATAACCAGTTGTTAAAAAATGTTACATATATAAAATATGAGTTAAAAGAAATTTGGTTACTTTCCAACTCACTACACTGTACAAATTATTCTGCAGAAACAAAATAAACATTTCTCTACAATCACATATTACTACAAATATTCAACATTGTACTGCATGTTTTATGAATAATCATTTATTAGCTTTTGAGTTACTCTTAGATTAGTTAAAATTATTAAAATTTAACCCAGGGTGAGTAAATGTGCACAGAAACGTTTTTGTTTGTGTTTTTATGACCAGCGTTATTATGTCATGAATGAAAGTTTGCTTTGGTGCAAAGGAGCTCAGTTTATTTTAAAAAGCAAAAATAATCCAGATATTTGATGATTTAATTCTGCAACAGGAACAAACATCGTTTTGTAAATGTAATTTCACTTCCAGATCCAACATGTTGGCTTAGACAGGAAGACGACGTAAAGCAGGAAACAAACTGAAAATAAAAGATTGGAATCCTGCAGACTTGAACATTTGGGTTTATATTTTATATTTTTAAGGATATTTATGCTCTTAGTTTTGAACTGTGCTGTGCTAATTCAGCAAAAAACTGATTTGTTTTAATATTGTCACACGTTTTTGTAATCATGATGGTGTTTTTGGTCCTGGAATGAACCTTTATCCATAAATTTGAAAGGCATTTTTCATAATATTCTCTATTTGCACTTTTGTCTTGATAAAATGTTTTATTTCCTTTGCTTCTTAAAAACATTTGAGAAAAACATTTAGTGATTTCATAAATCCAGCCAGATCTTACTGGAATTACACATTTATACATTTATTTTTCTGTCCTCATCACCTGAAACTTCCTGCCTCAGATAATATCCTCCCATTTTCTACAAAATTTAAATTTTAAGAAGAAAATTTTATATTTTTAAAAAACTGAAGTGATTTTCTGTTTTGTCATTAAAAAAGTTCGAACCTTAAAGCTATTTCTCTTTTAAAGCAATCAGCAGTAAAGCTGATCATCAATGAAGTAATCAAATGTATTGGCTAATGACAGAAAACAGATAATTTAAGAATTGAAACAACTTTTCTCTTGGAGCTGCAGGATTAGCATTTAGCTACAATTTATTAGAATAAATGTATGTGAGCTTTTATGTTTGTTGACTTTTATATGATCGTTATGTTGGTATTTTAGCTTAGCTATGCTAGTAAATCTGAGCCGACACCATTCAGCAGCCAGACCCGCCAAACTGACTGAATCACCAGGACAAAACGAACGAAAAGGTCTGAAAAGAAACCGTCCTCCAAATATTATAGTCTGAAGTTTGATACTTTTGAAGCTTTAATTGGCATCATTTATTATATTATTATTATTATTATTATTATTATTATTATTATTATTATTATTATTATTATTATTATTAAAATACTGCACTGATGCTGTTAGTTGGTTGAAATTATTCTCCGGTCTGTTGGTGTCCTAATGAAATAAAGGGAAATTTGAATTAATCGTGTTTTTATTTGTATCTTAGATGCATTTTGTTTACCTGCCTTGGGAGAACATAGGAATTAGCCGGGGGCCAAATCTTTTTAAACCGTTCTTGTGGATGACAAATAAGTAAACAGAAACCAAACTAAACAAGCTGTACTCTGTTTTTATTTTTATTTCATTTTTTCTTTCCTCCTCCACTGACAATCTTTTATTCATAGTCAGCAGAAATGTTGTGGCTTTTCCTCAATTTCTGGCTGACATATAAATAAAGAAGAAGAAAAGGAGAAGAAGCGTCATCCAGCTGCTTTGCCCCTTTAACTGGAACACCTGACTGGTGTGGAAACAAAGGCCAGCTGGACTCCAGCTGCACCAGTTGGACCAGTTGGAGCCTCCAGTTCCACTCAGCCTGTCAAACTGGGGATCGATAGATAAGGCTGCTGTCCGTTAAGCTCGTGCGTGCGCGTGCGCGGCTCCGTGCCAGGGCACGATGTGGCAGGTAACTGAACCCGCGCTCACCTGTCCGTCAGGCTCACGCGCTCTGACAGAGGGGGGGTGCGCGCGCGCCTCTGAAAGCCGCGCGGTTCACATCATATTAATTCCCCTAAAAATGTTTTGATTCAAAGTAGTTTGTATTTTATGTTGCCAAGGGCGATCGAAAAGAGCTATTGCCGGTAGTGCAGTCAGCGGAGCGCGCGGGCCCAGAGGCGATAACGGTATTTAAGCAACGGAGAGTAGCCTGGGGCTGCGGCGCGAGCGGCGGGCGGGATCACACGCGGAATCAAGCGCCTTTTACGAGTTTGCCACGAAAATTAAAGAAAAAGAGACCAGGGCCAAATGCCATTCTCCTCATATTTTAACAACAATGTTTATAGCTGCAAAAAGAAAAAGAAAAAAACAGCGAAGAAGAGCGGATGTGCGTGTCGTGCGTAACGGCGCGGGGGCGCGCGTCAGACGGATCAGCTTGATCTTTCCGGGCTGAAGGAGTGGAAAAAGAGAAAGCAGCGTGATTAAAAACACAGACGACTCCTCCTAAGTAGGATCCGCATTTCTTGAGTGATTTTCTTTTGAAAAAGGTTGTGTGAATATTCATGCCGCCAAAGCCGCAGTCAGAAAGAACAACATTAATATGATCTCGGCTGAATCCGGGGGCCCCGCTCCGCATTAGCATATCAAAGCGTGCGCCCGAGGCGAGAGAAGCTATCGATACGGGAGCGGGAGGTAAAGCAAAGATTATTGGTTGTGATGGTTGCAGCGGCTGAGCTCAGGGCCAAATGCGGCGCGCCGTTAACCGAAAGTGATGGCGGAGGGATTCCCGCGTCAATCCGAGAGAAAAGCCCCAACACCTCGGCAGGGCAGGGCTGATGAAAAATTAAACCGGCCTTCCTTTCTGCCTCTGTGTGGAAAATTACACGCAGCCGCCACGCAGGAAAAGAAACAGGCGAGCTTTGATGGAGCGAAAAGAAGATCCGCGGCGTGTTTTCAGTCCCACGCGTGAGGAAACAGGCCGGCCTGCCGCGTGTTTGTTCAGGCTCAAACGACACGCGCACAGGTGGATCCAAACACCTTCATCCTCCGAACCCACGGGCCAAATCTGCGCCTGCAGTCCAGTCTGATAAATAACATCTGAAGAATATTCAGAAATGTGGAGCCAACTGTATAAAGTTTAAATAAATGTCACGAGTAAATTTTAGCTTATTGCAATTCTGAGCTACTGATGTGACTAATAATTAAAGATAAAAGACTTGAGCAGGTTTGAAATTTTATTTTTTTGTTATTTATTATAAAAACTGACTTTTTAATGGCTCTCTGCCCAGGGTGCCATTTTATAAGGGGCAGAACAAGCCTTTTTTTTATTGCTTATTTGTTTATGTTAACTCAATAAGGCATCTTCAGCTCTCCTGTGAACCACTGTAAACACTAATAATTAGGTTTTTTAACCAAAATCTATATATGGCTAATAACAGCAAAGCTGAGTTACTCCATGCTACATTAAAGGCCCAATATACTGATTTGTAAGAAATCTTAGCAACTTTTTATCACATTTTCTTTCTAAATTCAACAAAATGGAACTAAATATTCCATCTGTGATGCAACTTTTATTTATTTTATTGAAAACAGATGGAAATTTTCTCCTTACTTTTAAGGCACTAGCATCGTCATTTAGCTTCTTTAAACATCGGCTGCAAATGTGTTGCATCATACGTTGTTTGTTTATTTATATTGTATATCAAGTAAAGTATGTCAGATTTGAGTGCTTGAAAAAACTCTTAGCTAACACAGCTAACAATGCTAATTCAGATTAGCATAAAGGGTAAGCTAAACAGGTAGCCTAGCATTGCCTTTGTCACTTTGACTTTGTTGACATTTTAATTGTCTGGGAGAGTTTAGTGAGCCTGCACACAAAGAAACACGTAGGTGTTGAGTGACAGTTCGTTTCACAGTGGAAGTGGGGAGCAGTGTGTGTGTGTGTGTGTGTGTGTGTGTGTGTGTGTGTGTGTGTGTGTGTGTGTGTGTGTGTGTGTCGTGTTTAAACAGGCGAGGAAAGCGGGGCCGTTCCTGCTGTAACATGTTGACAGCAGACAAGAGAGGAGCGTTCCGCCTGTTTGTCTATCTGCTCGCTGTCTTGTCTTGTGTCGAGCCGTGACTGTTTTCCACGGCCTCCGGTGCAACAACACAGAGAGGAAACAAACGGGGGGTCCTTACCTCTCCGGATGACGCCCCCTTGGCCGTTCAGTACGAGCCCACACTGCGCCTCCACGGAGCCCTGCAGAGACGAGCGCTCATTAGTCTGGCAGACAGTAAAAACATGCAAGCTGCTGCTGCTGCAGAGCCTGTAATATATTTGTTGTTTTTACGCGCAGGTGCACAAAAACATTCAGCTGTGAACTGAAAATCCTCCATCTGAGGAAAGGATTTCATGTGAATATTTGTTTTAATGGATGAGTTTCATAAGTTGATGAGTGAAAAGAAAAGAAAAAATGAATTAAGAGATTCTAGAAGTGAGTTTTTACACATTTGCCTCCCAATCAGGCTTTTTATTGACTAAGAGTTTTCAAATAATTGCTTTTAATTTGTTTGGATCAAAAATATCCAAAGATGCTTCAGTTTTGATTACATTACTTTTTCTCTTTTTTTTTTTTTTTTTTACCATATCGCCACCAAAGGGGTCAAAGGTCATTTTTATGTCCAAAATATATTTTCTAAATATCAACAAAGAGGAATAAAGACGAATATTTGATCCAATTATTTCACTCAAAAGCCAGAATAAAAAAAACTGAGTTGAAATGTAGCATTGATCCACATTGTGTCAACTGAAAGATCACACATTTTAGTAAAAAATCAAGAGTTGCAAAATGTTTTAAACTTAAGGATTTTACTGAAACGATCAAATCAGGGGAGTTTTGAAAGCAAATAAAAACTAAAACAAATTGAGTCATCACCTTCCTAAAACATTGTCATTCTTAGTTTTTTTTTTTTTTTTTGGGCACAAAAATAAGAAAGCAAAATAAATATTTAGACCATTATTTTATAAAGATGAAAATATCATTTTTGAGAGAGAAAAAAAACCACAAAGTTGTATTAATATTTTTGTCTAAAGAAAAAAACAAACCCAATGTTTACATTCTGTCATAACAAAATGAAACTCAAGACTTTCTGTTATGCTCTTTAATTTTAGTCTTTTTAGCGCCCCCCCAGCCCCTGACCAAAACTTTCTAGATACGCCCCTGTTTTCCATCCACTCAACTTCAGAAGTATAAAATTAAAACCTCCTGGTTTTTCCACCAAAACTACTATATATAGTTTTATTACTTCTAAATGAATATGAAATGTTTGCGTTGCGTTATGTGAGGTCTGATAGCACTGCATCTTTTTAGTTATTTGGACAATTTCTCATGTTCTGCAAACAAAAACAAAATTTTTGCTTGTAATTTTGGATACATGTTTTCAGTAGTTAATCAAATAAAAGAACAATATTCAATTTACTCAAACATAAAGAGTAAAATCAAAGAAACTGATCATTATAACATTTGTCTATATATATATATATAGTTTATATGTATATAAACTGTTTATATATATAATATATATATATAGTTTATATGTATATAAACTGTTTATATATATCTTTGGGCTACAGCAAATAGAGGGAGGCCATTTTGTTAGAAAGTATAAACACCACAGGAGGCTTGGAGCGGATCTGAGGTCACAGTACCATCAACTTGCTGTTCACGGTTCCTCGGAAACAAGCCTCATTTAAAAAGCTTCCGGCTGCAATCAAGGACAGCGCGTCTCATCCTGACCCAGAAAGTCTCATCCTGACCCAGAAAGTCTCATCCTGACCCAGAAAGTCTCATCCTGACCCAGAAAGTCTCATCCTGACCCATAAAGCCGCCCAGGCGTCCAGATTCGGCAGCAACATCCTGATACCTGTTGAGATCTGGAGCCAAACGCAGATCTGGGCCTGACGGCAGCGACACGTTTTAGTCCGGATCAGACTCGCGTATCAACAATGTCATCAGAAAGAAGAACACGCGATTTTTATTCAGAAAACACTTAATCCCTCGCGCGAGCCTCGAGGCCTGGCCCACGCAGAACCCCCTGATTAAAATAAACTGGGAGGAGACGGGAAAAAATAATAATAAAAAGAAAAGAGATTTTTGGAGCGCTTTCTTAACCAGCTCCTGCTCTGTTCCTTTTCTTCTTATTCCGGAGCTAAAGTGATTATAAAATCAATATACAAAACGCAGCGGTCCTGCATGAATTAGCGCGCTGACGGGGGAAAGGTGTGGCAGCTGCTTTGTTCGCCATGAAAATCTCTTTAACGCGCTCAGAGATGCGGCGGCGCCGCGCGAGACCAGGACGCATCTGTCGGGTTCAGACATCCGCCTCGCGCGAGCGCAGGTTCACGAGCCGCTGCTTTCTTATCGGCTACAAAAGGTCAAAGTTCGCCCTTTAAAATCCCAAAAGCCTCCAGTAAAACGGAATGTAAAAAAAAAACTAAACTAAAAAGAGCCGAAGAATATCATAAAAATTCAAAATTGAATGAAAAAAATATGAAATCTATAAATATAAAAGAATTTTTATCGATATTTTTTAATTATGTCAAAATATAAATTAGGTATATCACATGCACTGATTTAAAAATTAAAAATACCCGACACTTAAAAAATAACTAAAAAAAAAACAAAATATTCCATAATATTTACAATCAATACGCAATTACCAATTTTTTAAAAATTACATTAAATTATAATAAAACATCCTAATTTCTATTTAGATAATATAATTTGTCATTCATGCAAAATACATATTTCAAACCATATTCTGAATTTACACATTTTGAAAAAATTAAATAATAAAAAAACGTGAGATTTTAATCAGTGGTTAAAATTCTGCTTCGGAGGATAAAAAACAACAACAACAACAACAAAAAAAAACATTTACGCGACATAAATTACGCGTCAGTGTTTAACCAGAGACGCGTCTATAAAACCGGCTCAGATGTCGCTGCATAACTAACAAAGTTGATTGACGTTAAGTCCGTAATTGGATAAACTACGGTGCTTTATGCTGCTCGAGTCGCTATTGTGTCCTGAAGCCCGATCCGTTAATCCGCCCTTTACCGGAGAATGGAGCGACCAGCGGCTTTTCTCTGCCCCAGCACACACACACACACACACACACACACACACACACACACACACACACACACACACACACACACACACACACACACACATTCTTTTTTTTTAACATGGCCGTTTCTTTACATCGAAGGGAATTATGTAAAATATGGGTCACGTGTGTTTCTGGGAGAAATAAAGGGATGATTCCTCAATAGGTCTATAGACTGCCAGTCAATTAACCTTTAGAAACCGGCCTGCCCGCCTTTCAGAGGCGTCGCGCCGTGTGGACTTGACATTTACTGAGCCGCTTTTTGTGCGCTCACGTTTTGCTTCGGAAACAAAATGATCTCAAAATCAGATCCAACATGAGCAAAGTTACAGTCCCTGAGTGGAAAGCGACAGACAGACAGACAGACAGACAGACAGACAGACAGACAGACAGACAGACAGACAGACAGACAGACATCTGTTTCTCTGCTCAATAAGAAGAGGGGAATGTTTTTGGTTAGTGGGCCAGTGGGGCAGTGGTGCGTCCGTGTTACTTCTTGTTAAAGCGAATCACATTTAGTTTGTTTTTTTCTGTGTTGGGTCTGGACTCGAAGGCCGCCGGTACCTGCAGGTCGTCTGCCGCCGGAGGAGGGAGGCCCAGGCCGGCGGCGGGCAGCAGCCTCTGGTCCGGGTGGTGCATGCCGACGCCGTAGGCTTGCGAGCCGTGTGACGTCATCAGCGACAAGTCATGGCGCCGGTAAGCGTCGAGGCAGCCCAGCTCGCGCCGCTGCTGCTCGTCCAGGCACGAGGACTTGAGGGCCGAGCGCGCGTTGTGCAGGTTGATGAAGTCGGCGGGCTCCCCGTGGTGGATCTGCTGGTAGTACTGGCCGGAGTGCAGCGAGTTCAGCCCGTAGGCCTCCGGGGCCACGGCCGGGTGGGAGTGCTGGAACTCGTAGTGGAAGGACTGGTGGTGCAGGGGCGTGTACTGGTGGTTGGCCGAGAAGTAGGGCGAGGCGAACTCCGTCCCCGCCGGCGCCGGGTAGGTGAGCGGCGACGAGGAGGAGTAGGCGACCGAGGAGTTGGCCACCGACTCCAGACAACCGAGCTGCATGAGCCGGTAGCTGTTTGAACCGTCGTGACGTATCTGGAAGATAATAAAGAGACAGGGAAAGATATGAGCAGTGTCATTTAGCATCAGCCGGTGTCTCCTCTCTGCCTCCCAAACACACTCCAAAACACAACTCACACACTCTCAAAGCGTTTTTTTTTCTTCCTCTCTCCTCCTCACTTGAAACCACCTGAAGGAGATGTCATTTCAACGCGCCTGGGAGGGGAACGACCGCGCTGCAACAGGAGCAATAGGTAGTTTTTTTTCCTCCCTTTGGCATGCCTGTCACTCTCTGTGCAGCATTTAAAAAGGCGTGCTGTTATATGTTATTATTATTACCGAGCTGCTGGCAAATTCACTCCCAGCGCTGCTGCTCGCCGTGGAGGAGAGACACAAAGGCGAGTTCTGCCCTGAAACGTCCTAATCACTCACATTTATAATAAATAAAACCCTAATAAGTCTCTTTTAGCCACTTCTTTTCATTTTCTTGCATTCCATCAACTGCGTTTCTTTTACAGATTAACTAAAACATTTTTTTATTGTCTAAATTAAATTCTGTTAAATGAAATAAAGCAGCCTACCTCTGCGTCGTGGACAAGTCCGGGGAAGGTCGCTGACATTGTTCTTTCTCCAAAATAACCCGAAATGTTTTGGTCTCACTCTCCTCTACGACCCGATCGAATAATAATAGTAATAATGCCGATAATAATAATAATAAAAAAGTGCTTTAAAATCCTCCAAGAAAAGCGAGCGAGATGGAAAAGTTCCCCTTTTGCGCGTCTCTGGGTTTTGGTAGAAAGCTGGCGGAACGCAGCGTCTCCCCTCTGCACGGACGGGGCTGGCGCACGGATTTTGTACTTGCAGGGTATTTCTCGGCTGATGTCGTAGGTCCCTTGGTAATATAGAAGTTTTGAAAATTAAGCATCAGCACTGAGGAATGGGAGGACAATAGACGGAGAAGGAGCATCCCAGGAGACAAGGAATAAATATTGTATCTTCGCCCTAATAAGGATCGAGAGCCTCTTTCAACGTTTTCCAGGCTTTTTTCTGGACATTTTCCTCCATTTTTGACTCGTTTGTGTTTCCACCAGGTCCGCTGCTCGGTTTTTCGTCGTGATATTATTGTTTTTTTTTACTCGTTTAACAAAAATCGAGCGGATTTTCAACGAAACTGTAAGTTTAATTTGCAATGTTTTGGAATAAGGTTGGATGTAAAAGATGTTTATGTTTCTGCTGAAAACGCTTCAGTTTGGATGCTTTTTATGCTTCCTGCATGCACCGATTATTAGCCTTTCTATTGGTTTTTACATTAAATACTGTTTTCACGTTTTGTCCGTTTGCGTTTTCAGATTATTCACATTTTCACAGATTAATTTACTGCGATATTCGAGTCACATATTTTTGCTGGCAGTTGGAAATTCATTCCGGTTTATCTGGGGTTTTTTTTTTTTATTGTGTACAAATCTGTTGGTTTTTTCCCCCCACATTTTCCAGCTTTTTGCATTAATCTTTTGATGCATTTGATTTATTTTCCCCCCATTTCTCCTCCCAGTCTGAATGTTTTCTTTGTTAATAATGAACTCATTATTAATGCTGTGGACGCGCAGGTCTGGTTTCAAACGTGTTTATTATTATTTGTGAATGTAATTTTTATTTTATGGTGTTTTTTCTTTCTATTTTTCTCTCTCATTGCTGTGACTCACCTGAGCGCCCTGGTGCTCCTGCACAGCTCCACGGTGCCGTCATGCAGATTATTGGGTTTTTGTTTACTTTTTAAAAATATATCTTTATGTTTTTGGGTTTTTGAGAGGATATATTAGGGGGCAAAATGAAATATTTTATCTGATAGGAAAATAAACGCAGCTAAAATGGGAATAAAAACATAGAGAATCAGACAGTGACTTGCCCTCAGGCCTTCTGGTAAAAGCAATAGAAACATAAATAGAGCAAACGCGGAAGTTTCTGTGGTCTGAGCCTGTTGGCGAGGAGCAAATAGAAATAAAGGAGAGGGATAGAAACCAGAGGAAGAGGAAGAGGAAGAGGAGAGGAGAGCTATTCTACTGTCTGTCAGATTTCCTGCCACTCAAAAACAAACCAGAGAGAAAGAGAGAGAGATGAAGAGGGAGGGACCAGAGATGAGCCCTAATCAGTCCTGGGTTGGATGTCTCTCTTTTTTCCCACTCAGCTGAAACTGCAACCAAAGCGACTCGCTGATGTTGTTAAACTGACTCTGCGCTTTAATTAAGTAACTATTTTCCTTCCCATCTGTTCCTGCATCCCGCTTAATCTCAGCCCAAATATCGAACAAAAGCAACAAGCCACCATTAAATGATGATGATTTTAAATTATTGCAGAGTCTTGTCACTTTCCCCCTGATCAGAAAGATCCCAGTTTATCCCATTTTCTTACGTTCAAATAGAAGAAGGACAAAAATCAGCTCATTAAGCAAATAGCGACCCTGGCAGAGACTCGTGTTGCAGGGGGCGCAGTAAATAACCTGCTTTAAAAAGTTCTCAAGGCCTTTTATAGTTTAATTAACCGATACCGATTGTTTTGCCTGGAGGCTCGACGTGAAACCTCTGCGCGACCAGACCGGTGAAGGCCGGCTGTCGCAGGCCAGGTATTAAAAAACAGAAAAGAGAGAGGAAGGGAGGAAGGGAGGAGGGAGGAGAGCACGGAAAAGAGGAGGAGGGACGAACAGGAAGGCCAGCAGGAAAAGAGACAGGTAAAGAGAGCAAGAAAGCGTCGACATAAAGTGATAAAATATGGCTAATCATCGTTTTTTAATTAAATTATTTGACTTTTTAATTGACATTTGACACCAAACCTTCAGGAGAACAGCAACATGTTTGATTTTATGATTTTAAACAAATCATAATGACACCAGAAAGGCTCCATATTCAGCAAGATTACATTATATAGCCAGAAAAGACTTCACTTTAAGGCTAAATGAGGCATAAATGTGGTTATAATGTGGATTTAAATTGGCAAACTAAGCCTGACTTTCAGTCCATCCAGAGCAAGCTATGCTCTAAAAATGTTAATTTATGGCTCTAGTTGTAATCACACAACAAATTGGTCATAGTTTGATGTCAATTCAAAGCTGTTTGGTTAATAATTTCTGCAGTTTTTTCTGACATAAAAAGGACAGAGTAAATGTAAACTCCTCACCTTCCTGAATCTTAATTAGTGAATTATCTGGGGCACCAGATAAAATTCAGCTCAGGGCCGCGCAAAATCTTGGGTCTGCCCTGTTTTGTCGATACATTCCTGTTAAAATAATCATTTATTTATTTGTTTCAAATATTTAAAATCAAAGAAAACAAACAGGACAAAAGGAGACGCTTTATATTCTATGTAATACATCACTTACTGACTAATTCTCATACATTTCAGAGTGGATGTTTGGACTGTGGTGTTCCTCAGGGTTGAGTGTTTGGACCCAAATTATTCATTTCATTCATTAATGACATGAGTAAATCATCAACAATCCTAAGACTTATTTTATTTATTATTCAAATATCTTGTCTTCTTTTGGATGCTGTTACCTCAGAATTGTTTAAAATTATTTTATGTTTATTTCATCCATTTATAGTCAAGTTGACATAAACAAAATAAGTTTTGAATAAAAAGTAAATCGTCCCTCTTCTTTCAAAAATGTGAATTGAAACAATCAAAATAAACAAAATTTTTAAAATGAAAGAGACGTCCATTGTCTCCATTGTTGAATATAAATTATATTAATATATTTTACTGTTTTATGTGTTAAAAATAAACCAAAGAAATGAAATAATTCCCCATAAAATAGAAGGGAATCCCACAAATCTTCATTTCTACACCACAAAGCAAATTTTCCTCTATATGTATTATTGTTATTATTACTATTAGCAGTAGATAATGAGGTAAATTGCTCCCGAACCGAGGCACCAGTTGCGCGTAACAGGGCTTAACGCCGGAGTGGCCCCTCTGTTACCGGGGGGCCGAGAGCGCCGCAGCAGATGCGCACTGATCTCCGGACAGGAGCCAGTCCATCTGGCGCCTGACGAGGCAGGGAAAGGCCCGAAAGCCCGCTCGGTAGTTCAGCCCAGAGGCGAGAATTTAGATCAGCCCCGAGGTTTTCTGGATGGACCGACTGGGAGCCATGGGGCCCGGCGGGGCGAGTGGAGGGGGCCCGGCATCTTTAAGGGCCAACAGGAAGTGGAAATCACTACAGGATTGGGCGTGTGACCTAATTCTGTAATTTCTCGTCAATATTTCGAAAAATCAAGACTGTGTGATGGTTAATTATTTAAGTTATTATTGTTATTGTTTGTACGTATCTATCATTCGTTTAAAAAAAAAATAAAAAAATGGAAATCAGGCTTAGTTTGCGAATTTATCAGAGCCATAAATGTTTTTAACATTTCAATGTTACCTGGTTTTGACAGAAAACAACATCATCACCTGGATAAAATGGTGTTGTTGTTTATTAATGAATGAGTTTTTAGATAGTTTAGCAAAATGAACGTCTTTCATCTGCATAAAACGTCACAATAAGCAAAATACAGAGAAACATCCCTGATTTACCAGCATTTTGATCAAATAGAAATTACGTTTTAAAAATAGAAAAATAACAATAAACGTTCAAAATGATCTGTTTTCTTTAAGTTAAACTTTATCTGATTAGCCACGCCCACATTACTTCTTCAACAACTATTTCACGTTGTTTAGACGGAAGTGATGAAACTAATCTGATTGGAGTCTATTTCTAATGATCTCATTTAAACTGTGTGAAATACCAAAAGGCCTCGGAAAGGCAGAGAAAACATCAGACCACATTGGTGTAAACGGTTTAATACGGAGGCGCAACTTATCCAAAATAGATCACTGCATACCCTGCAGTCACTTAATCCAGCCTATTACTGCCCTGTAATCCCCTTTAACGCAACTTTCAGCACATTGTGTCAGATTCTAACACTTGGATCAACTCGGGATGCATTCAGAGGTCAAACGGATCCAAAAGCCTCAAAATGTTGCTTATAATAAATGGTCAAAAACACCAAAACGAGACAGTTTTCCAGCAGAAAGAGGAAGGAAGTTGAAAGCCTCCCCAGCCTGCTGCCTGCAGCCTGAGCGCACACGCGTTGGCCTGCTTTCTGGGTCTGTTTGGGTCCTAATGAACCCGCTCAGACTCGTCCGTTGGGTCGGTGCGTCTGCACCTTTCTCCAGCCAAAATAACGTCTGACACAATAAAAGCGCAACGCGCGGAGCAGGTTGGCCCTCCGTCAGCAACCAGAGAAAAGTAATTAAGGAAACTGTCTGACCTACATAGAGGAAGCGCAGGTTAATATGCTAATATGGATCTGCTAATTGTGCGGATTTACTGTGTCGTTTTGGGGACGCGTCACTGCGCGGATAAGCCTTCAAGATCTGCAGCAAATTAATTTCTTTTCATGGGGCAGAAGAGGCAGGAAACAGGTGTTGGAGGAGGAGCAGACAGGGGCGTCTCCAGGAGGTTTGGTCAGGGTGACCAGAAAGGAAACACTGACTCTGAATGTCTGTAGAGAAATTCATAAAATAATAAATAAAACAGATCAAACAAATTTTAAAAATCCCTAAAAAAAAAAACTGTAATGACGTCACTTGAAATTGGTATTTTGCATTTTACATTTAAATGAACAAATTATCTTTGAGGAAAATTTTGCTAGAATAATAAAAAACTTTACAAAATTGACTTGACATAGAAACGAGTTCAGTTTAAAAGAATGAACCATTTAACAGATGTTAAACTGTAAAAGCTTAAATAAATAAATAAATAAATAAACAAATCAATAAGCTAATTTGTTGTT